GGTACCCAGAGGTTACAAAATAACAATAAATCATTTAAACATCATTTTGTCATATCTTTCCGTATTCGATATTTCTATTCGTTGTGACGGTTTTATGTGGGCTGAATCAAATGCACCATTGACGCAATTCAATTTCCTTTTTTCCGATTTCTTCAAGAGATTAAATCGTTTATTTATTTTAAATAAAACTTTCGAATTTGAATTTAAATAAATTTTCACCAATCATTCATAGCCTATTTATATACTTTATAATCCCTTCTCCAATACTGATTTCAAATAAGAAAAAAAAACAATTATTTATTCAATTAAAATGGTTCGTAGCAATGTCCGAAAACGGATTTGATTCGGTGAATTAAGTGGAAGGTGTTGTGAAAGTATGTAAAACAAAACAAAGGCCATTGTCCACCTCTTGGTTTGATCGTTAATGATCTATTGTTTTCTAAAAAACAAATTAAAATGCGGCAAGTTGCTGACGGAGTCAGGTGAAATGAAAAGAAACAAAATAAAGAAGAAAATCATGTAATATTAATTCAACGGGAACCAATAATTTAAGTTACAAATTAAAAGAAATAGAAAATGGTTTATTATTCGATTGGCAAACATTCACACAAACAGTGCTGCACCACTTCTACCAATGATGCATCTGCTCTAGCCGTAGATAAAATGAAAGAAAACTACAATAATATATTTTTTGTAATATTCTATTCGAAACTTTTCCAATCTTCTCTTGCTATGAGGAAATGAATTTTGTTTTCTAAAGCAGAATTATAATCACATTCATCGGTGATATTCGTATCGTATGCAATTAAATAAAATTCAAAAATTAAAATGCTGATGAGGTATCAACGTTTCTTGCATTTGTGGTTTTTATGACGGATTTCATTAGATAAATCGTCGTAGAATCAGCCCAAACTTAACCTTGAAACTACCTAACAACCGAATTGAAATTAATAAAGTGGTCAACAATAAAAAAAAATTTATGCGATCTCAATATGTTTTTCGCAAGAAACAAAACTGATTTCTCTCAGAAATCGGGAGTAATTTAAGATTGGTAATCTCTGGTGATCTCAGCGAGCTCACAAGTATTCCGAAATCAAGACAGCAGAAAAAGTCTCGTTAGCATTGCCGAAATGCCAAGCAATCATAGAAGCGTAAGCAGGAGAAAACTTCTTAAAATATGAGTGGCTGCTGCTTACTCGTTGGTTTCCTTGATGATGATGACGACGATGATATCACAACACATTTTATTTATTTATTTATGATTTTTTTTCATAATGTTATTTCACCGGTCAATTTTCGTTGGATTCGTACTCATAGCATGCGCATTGGATAAACTATACAAATATTTCTAGCCTCACAAATGATGTTGTTTGAATGGACGAAGGAATGAACGCGTTCACTCTCTACTTGATTATTATCATTTACGATTATTATTCATTTTCATGTGCTTATTAAAATGTGTAATACACGATTTTTTCTCTTCCTCTCTCTTTTTTTCGCCGGTGTAATTCATATTTTGTTCGTTCGTTTGGCTGGTATGTGCAGATTGAATATGATGGTGGTGTGGTTCGTGCATGGTAATTTGAGCGCTTTAAGTTCAACCATGTTTGACTCTAAAAGTGTTTTATTGTTTTTTGCTTTCCCTCTCTACCTGTGCGTTGCCTAACTTTTATTTCAGTATTTTTTATTCACTTTGAGAACTACTTACAATTAAAGAATTTTTTTTATGCAGCGCCTCATGCCATTTTTGTTATGGTGAGCGAGGTGGTGAACAGAAAAAAGAAACATATATTTATGTGAAGTACAAATAAGTCAAACGGTTGTAAGCATGGAGAAGAAATTGAACTGAATTTATTATAATAATAATTGCCTTATAGTGCAACCACAAACACACACTTGATAGCAGCTCATACTTCAGTGTCACTTTAATGCCAACGGCAGGAGTTCGGAGTTATGTGCCCTTCTCCCTCTATCGCATCCGAACCATTTCGTTAATAACAAGCCTTTTGAGTACATTCAATAGCCGTACGTCATTTTCTTCTTTGCATTTACCATCTCGTGAATTTTGTATCTAGTGCTATCGTGTACAAGTGCGATGAATGAAATTAGTGAAAATGTGTGCGTCAAAGAGAAAAAAACGGAATTGAAATCACCGAAAAAAAAATCCTTTTACAATTGCACGACGAATTGCACGTTGACTAAGACGTTGAAATGAACAACATTCGGCGTATGCGCAAAAAGGAATTATATGGTGTCCTTAGTATCAACGTTGTACATTTTTGATGTGTTTGCGATCGACAACAAGTTAACTCTCTTTCTATGTCTTTTTCTTATACATCGAACATTAAATTGCGCACATTTTTCTGCGGCACTCTTGGTAAATGCCATGTATGTTGTTGTTGTTGTCGTTGGCTTTTTAACGATCGTCTTTCTTTTGAGCATTTTCTGCCTGCCATTGTTATTACTGTTCATCGTTTAATTTCACGTTTCGCACCCAGTCACGCACACCATATACGTTTTGTGTGCCAAACGCTCGATATCATTTTGCCGTTCGTGCATACGTATGCTTGTATCTGTGTATTCAACGCTGCGAACAGATTTTAAATTGAAAACAGCAAAAAAAAGTGTGAACCCAAGCCGTATGCAAGTCACCTTAAGTGAAGTAATAAACACTATTCTCTGCTTTCCACGTAATCGCACCGTACTCTCTTGATTACTCTACCACGGCATTGAAATATAAAGACATTACAGAAATTAGCAAAAGGCAATCGTATTTCATTCGTTTGTATATCGATCGATGAATTGCACACACTGTGCATTTTGTAAATCTGACTTCCACTGGCTGTTCTTTTTATTTTTATTTTTGCTCAATTTAACCATTCGCACAACCAATAAGTATATTTATCGAATTATTCGGGAAAAAATGTATTTATCGTGGTATAATAATCATATTTATTTATTAAGAATGATTCTGGTTTTGCACGTTTTGTATATACGACGATGCGCCATTGATATAATTATGATGTTGGTCAACGATAATGTCTTTTGGTCTCTGTACAGGAGATATAAAGGTGTGAATTATTTTTCTCTTCTTCATTTGAACTGCAAATGAAGGTTTTCAAAGTCGCGTTAACGCAAGCACACAAAATCAGTTGAATTGGATCTACTGTGTATATGTTCATCAGAGAGATATTTGTCAACGCATTTTTCTCCACTTAATGCGTGAAAAATGACTAACGCTACAAGAAGAAACCATGATAAATCGACTGATACATAATTACGGCATTGAAAATGTCAATTCACTTGACAAATTAATTAGTGATACTCCTTTTGCATTTTGGATTATAATTATAATTATGATAGAGAGTTGACTCAACGAAAAGAACCTCGTTCGAAAGGCATTTTTTATCTTTCATTTGAATATCTTTTTCATCATTTAGAAACACCATCCATTTATAATCTATCGAATCGAATAAAGCTTCTATAATCTTGAATTAATATAAACAACTGTTAAACGTGGCAAACAAAATAATTTTACATCAATCGATAAATACAAAAAAAATAGAGAAAAAACAACACCCTTCACAGTTATGACAATGAAAATGGTAAAATTGGCAATTTTCTTGAGGCGCGCAATAAATATGGCAATTCGCGATGACGAAAAAATGTATAACATCCATGATATTAATATCCATGATATATTCACTGAAAGCTGAGAGAATGCTGTGAGAATATTGCTGTCAATATGAATTTATTTCATGAGAAATCTATTTGGAATTGAAAATTGTAAATAGCTTCAGCTATTAACATTCGTTTTGCATACACGAAACTGAAATAGCTTACACATTTTTTTTCTTTATAGTCGCTCAAGACTTTGTGTCAAATTTATTTTCACGTAACGAAAATTCTTGGATAATAATTTTCGTGCACGTTTTTTCCACAACACACCAGCGAAAAAGAAGAAGCATTTTTAGTTTAAAAAAGCGTAGAAACGTAGTTCTAATATGTACCGTAGCAATTGACTGCTTTTGGAAGTTAAACAAAAAATAGATGAACGAATAATAAAATTGTTTTAGTTTCATGAAAATGTACGTAGGCACAAAACTGACATTTGTTGAAGTTCAATAATCATATTTTTTGTTGTAAAAGTGACAAGATTCATAAAATTTACATGACAGTAGAGAGCGAGGCACAGCATTAAATCAGCATATATACCCCTCTCTCTCATATTGTGTAATTGAAGAATAAATTTGTGTATTTTATGAACATCGGATTAGTGAAAGAAGTCCAAATTAAATAAGTGTATGTAAGCAAAACATGTGAAATGTCAATGAATCACGCTATGCGCCCGGGTTTACTTATAGTGAATGAAAAAAATTGAACCATTTTCTGCATTCATCGAAGAACGAAGTTTATCATTGTTGAAAAAAAATAATAATTTGGGAAATTTTTTCCTTCATTTTTTTTTTATTTTGCCTCGCCATTTATTTACCATGTTGAACGAAATAGTTTAATAATTGATTTAATCGAAATGTGTTTAAAGGTATAAACAATGTTAAAATGTCAAAGCCATTTGTGAATGATTGGATTTTTATGGAGTTTAAGTTAGCGAAATGAAAACGAAAAATGTACGCTTTCCTCGTTACGAAGTCAATCAACAGATTAATAAAGCAATTATCCACTCGATAACAGTGTAGAAAAAAGAAGGAATTATTATGGCATTTTAGAGAGAGCGAGAAATAGAGGAAAAATGGCTACTCGGCAATCGAACGACAATGATAAATCATTTAGCGAGACTCTAATCGGCTAATGACGAACAACAACTCTCTATACTGACGACAATGATAACGATAAATAATATTGAAATAAGGAATAAATCGTTGTGGTTTATCTGGATTTAAATTGGTCATGTTTTTGTTAATTGCGTGTTATTTGTTTTCGATTCTTTAATTTTGGAATTAAACTATTGTTACTGAATTAAAAAATAAACGACTTACCACCTTCATCATTTGAGCAATCGCTGGGTGGACCTTGTGCTGTACGATTTGCTCCATTGAGATTGTGTTGTCCCAAATTTAGACCATTTGCAGTGCCAATCGCATTGAGACCGCTTAAACCGACCAGCGCGGCTTGTTGATTTGGCGGTGATCCTGTGGCCGAGGGTGCAAAACGCGGTCTTGATAAAAACGGGCTACCGAATACGCCGGGCATTCCAAACTGTAAAAATGGTGCCCATGGTGCAACAGCTCCACGATTTCGCGGTGCCAAATGAGCTGCCGCTGCAGCATACAATTGTAATGCTGGCTGTAGCCCAGCATTCGGAAAATTTGGTAAACCTTGATGCTCAAGCACCATTTTTTAAATTTCGTTTATATTGAACAATATTTCAATTAAGTCTTGTACTTTCTTTTTTGGCCAAGTTTCGATTGTACTAATAGATGTGTCGGCTTTCAAACAATGCCACAATTTAATTTTCGCTGGGTAATTTTTTTTCAAGACTTCAATTCAAAAATCCATTTTTTTTATTTGTATATTTTTTGATGAATAAGAAATCAAGTGTTTGTTTTAGTTTTAACGATTAACGGTCTATTGAAATTTTACAACGTCACATGTTGTTTTGCTTACGCCGTCGGTAAGTACACTGTCCACTTGCTTTATAGTCTACTGAACTAAGTTTCCAAATCTAGAACTTATATTCGGCGTTTAATCAACTGATATGTGCCTTATTACAAAACATACAATTCGTTTTTGAACACTTTGCGTTTGTAAATGTCTCTGTTTCTACATTCCCTAACTGGCAAAAATATTTTAAATTTGAACACAACGATGTACGTAATTCAATTAGTTCGTCATTATGTTTTTATAAACTTTTGAATATCGTTTTGTTGATTCAGTTGGGCAAACTGATCGAACTAAAAATACATCCACGCTTATAAAATCGAAAATAAAAATGTGTTACATGTGTTTTTCTTTATTCAAATATAATTGTCGATCGTGTAAAAATCGAGCAAATTTAAAATATTCTAATGTTATACAGCTGCTACAGTACAGTGTCTACACACAACGAATATTCACCAAGGACTGAATCGAAAAATGTGGTAATATACACACGATATCACGAAAAACTCGAAATTTCCAACCCGTCGTCGCGCACTCTGTTGCCGTCGTCGTCATCATCATCGTCACATTGTGGTTCAATATTGTGAGGCAGAGGAGAAACAACAAAACCAAGCGAAGAGTGAGAGAAACATGAACAGCAACAAACAAAAATGCCGAACGCTTCGCTTTAACAAAAAGCAACATACAACAACAAAAACAATAACAGCAACATTGAAACCGCATATATCGTAATATTGCGTTTGCTTTTCTGAATTGAAATATAACAAGCACAAAATGATTCTATGTGCCTGCCTGACTCGATGTTCTCCTTCTTTTTCGGCTTTCTTTCACATGCTTGTTTATTATTTTCAGTTTGTTTGTTCACACATACTACTACAATACTCATCTTAGCCGACATATATTGTACTATACTCACATACACATTCAAATAAGCATTTGACAGCGTGCATCAGTATGGGCGAATAACTTATATTTATATGTATAGGAAAAATGCAATTTATGGTGTTGTTTTATTATATTTATTCGCTTCTTGTACTGCTATAGTCTTTTACCCATTTTCTTGTATGAACACCAGCTGTGTATTTCTCCCTATTCGATTCCGAATGTTAAACACACACACACACATGTGTTCAGTCATATTTTGGGTGTTTAATATTTTCCACTATGCAAGTTGAATTCTATTTTATACTTGTTTCAGCTTGTTTTTTTCACTTGTTGTTAAATCTATTGAATTTTACTTTGGTTTCATAGTATGCGTATTTGTTAAGTGAAAAAGAATTGATTTCTATTCATTCTTCTTATAGGAAAACATTGCTCATGTAGATGTTGAACAAAATGATACGAAAACACACATACAATCTTGTTCTTGAATGTGACTGTGTCCGTCTCTCTCTCTTTCTGTGTGTATGTGTATGTGTGTGTGTGCATTTGGAGAAATTGTAGGCGGAGCTAATTCAATTAAATTCAATTCAACTTTTCTCAGCACGAGTTCGGGCATAAGATTCGTATGTATGAGTGTTACAGTGTTGAGCTAGATTCTTGTGTTTTTGCTTCTGCATTATACATTCTCGAGTATGGCGCGTAAAATGGAAAGCTGCTTAAATGACAAAAGGCAAGAGCCACAAAAAAAAAACACTTCTCCAGAAAATGTATATGAGCTAGTGGTATGGCTACGACCTATGTCTGCTTGCTGATTGGTTCATTTAATAACCATCCCGAATGGCAAACGATTGGCTGAATAAAATATACATGTTGATTAAATTATTGCTGTAACGTGGTTACCCCAACATTACAACTACATAATCTTGTACATGCACATATACACAAACACACGACCTTTATACTGCACAATTGCTTCAATGTGCCTGTATGGGTTTATTTTTCAAGCACTCGGCTTTTCGTTTTGAAAATGGACAAAAAGAGATGTGTGTGCGAAAACTATGTCGAATACAATACGCAATGTAATATCAGCATCAACGAAATTGATTGTCGTGGCACTCATCCAAATACTGCCGTCTCTCTAAATTGAAGAAGTGGGATCAACTTATGGAGCATTTTATATTCTCTTCGGTATCGTTGTATTGTGTGAGTCTTTCTATCTCTCGTCTGTGTACATACCAGAGCATATAAGTTTTGCTTTCATTTCAATCAAGCCCCGAATGAAAAACAAAAAGCAAAAACAATGTATTGAATACAATTTTGGGGGCACTTGTGTGTTAGTGAAGCTCATAGTTGTTGGCTTTTTGTTGTCTTTCTTTCTATACTGGGATCTCGCCACAAATGTACACATAAAATGGTTCGCTCCACACATATATTTTAATGGAAACACACATAGAGCAATAATATTATGCTTGGAATTGATTTTAAGTTGGAAGTAAATTTGTTCGTAATATTCACGGTAAATACACGCTTTGCTCGAACAGCGCGTAGGGACAACCTATATAAACGCTCACTATATACTACGGCTCTCAGTGCGCTTTTATGTTGATCGGAAAAATGTAAAAAATTTCTCGTTTTTTTTTCGGTGGTAAGAGAAAAATAAGCATAATCAAGATTTTAAACCATAGAGAAAAAAGATGGCTTACCAACAGGAATATCATTTAAATCCGACTGTCGATACCGACATATTACTTCTATGTGAATTCCAAATATGCTTAGCGCTTACAATTTTAACTCTGTATGCGTTTTTCTGATGGATTTTGATTACAATCACCAATTTTGTGGTTTATTCCGTATATATCACATTCAGCTTTCCCCCTCCCTTTCTCTTTACGAGATTTCATCGCGTTTACTTGCCTACACTCAACCAACTTCATTATTTTGGTATTCGTATTATCGCTTCACTCTACGCACATGACGATGATGATGATACTTATTTTATTCAACCAAAGAACTATACATGCCATTCTCTAAATGAAAACTATTTTCCTTTTAGACATTTGCCGTTATTCGCTTTTGCGCTCATTTTATTGAAATAATGATGTGAATCTTCTGTACTGATTACATCGAATAGCTCATACATAATTTTTTAATTTTTTTTTTTATAATAAGCTTCGCTTTTCCACAATTGCCCGACATTGTGTCAGAGTAGTTGTTAATATCTCTCTCTCTCTCTCTTTCTCTCTTTCTCTCTGTGTATAACTTGTGGATAAAATTATAGTTCCTCTTAATTAGAAACATTGTTGATGACAAGCAAATTCATAACAACCAACATTTCCATCAGTAACTTTTCTGCTGCATCCATTTTACTTATTCAATGAGAGATGAATGTGTTTCAACATCGACAATGGAATCGTGAAATATAGATCAGATGATATAGATCAGATGTATATAGTCGTTATGTTTTTATTATCATATTAATATTTCATTTAATTGGCACTAATGTGATCAGATGTTTCTTGAATATTAAAGTTAACTTGACTTCTGCTGATTGTGAAAAGACTGTATTTTGCATGAATTGGTTTGATTTTAACCATTTACTTAAAATTTAAAATAAAAAATAACAATAAATATGAAAACGCACTTTTTTGTTTGACAATATTGAACATAGTATTTGATTATTAATAGATGATTAATAACAGTCCTTCAATTTGATTTCAGTAGAGCAAAACCGCTTTTCTGCATCCGTTAAAAGTGTCCATGATCGAAATCATGTCTTAATTCATTTTTGCTGTCATCATTATTCGTAGAATCATCAATCATGTATGTAAAGTATATTTTATGGTCTGTGCAATAGCACAAAGATTTATGATTCAATATCCCTGATTTGGTTTTAATTTGAGCTCCGTCATTTCATTTCGACTGCGCAATTTATAAATATAGATTTATAACAATTTTCTTTTGATTTTTTTCTTGTGCTTTGTGTCGTTATATTTGATTCAATAACATAATTAAAGTCATTAAATATATTTACAGTGAAATAAAATGTTGGCGACAGTCGCCTGTAATCAAAGAGCCTGCAATTTAGCAAACATCTTTCTTTATTCTTTTCTTTTCTTATATACTTATCTACAAAAAGTCGCATTATTTCTTTTAGTCCATATGTGTGTATGTCACATGGTTATATGCGATTGAATCGTTTTTGTTATCAATTTTCTTGGAGCCAATCAACAAACAAAAACCAGCAATTTAAATTAATGAGCTAATTTGTTATGATTTATGATTGGATTGGTTCAATGTGTTTTCTCTATGCTAATTAGTAAATTCGAGTCTTTAATTATTTCAAATGGAATATATTTTTTTCTACACTGGGGTGATTTTAACGATGATACTATTACTACGCCTATTAAATTTTAAGGTTAAAAAAAGAGCATGCGTTACAACAGTGGAATAAAAGTGCGTCATATATCTTGAAGCTGTTGGATATCTTGAAACTGTTGGTTATAAATTGATGTTAAGCTTTGGCATAATAACGCCAATTTTCCACATTAAGTCAGTCATACTGATTTCTCATAATGTGTCGTTTTTTTTACCTCAAAAATGTTGAGCAGCAAAACTACAGCAAAACGAACCACATAACAAATATACGATGATGAAATAATAGACCAAGCTAATTCACTAGAAATTATAGGTCTGACCGTATAAATATGATGACAAAATTATTAAATTTTTCCTCTGGCTCTAAATTACATTAAGCCCGACATTATCAATATTGACGCCTTGGTTGCCTTTTCCTGATGATTAAAGCTCCCTTTTACATTTTCCATGGATGAGTTTCAACTTTCTGGGCACGCAAAAGCATATACTACTTCTTAGAGTGGAAGAACGGAATATAGAATGTATATAGTATATCAGACTTATTGTGAGTACTGCACGTAAAATTTATGGATGTGCAGTATTATTTTGCTTGCTTTTTCTCACCATTTTTGTTCTTGGGCTCATTATTTTTCGGGAGCTTGGAGTTTGTTCGCGCGATTGAGCCGCTAATACTACATGTTCGTACTATAAATTACATATAAATTCGTTGTGCGCGCGATGTCTATTGCGTCAGAGAGAAGACTTTTTTGCACATTTTTTATTCGTTCGTTCGCACGTTAAATGGTAATACTTTATATCGTTTAAAGTTTTGCTCGTTTCTTTACTTACGAGACAGGCGTATAGAGAAGAAGGGACGGATGAAGAGGAAAAGTTCAAAAACGATGCAGAAAAGCTGATGGCAAACTTCCGTTTTGATTCTTTCAATGTGAAAATTTATGTGCACAACATGTGCGTTTGGGCAAAGATGTAAAATGTTTCATAATTATATTAGGAAATATCACTTGAAAATAGTGAGCAAAATTATATATGTATGTTCCGCCAACGTGAGTTCTTTTCGGTATTTCTCGTTTTCCATAAATAAAATTACACTTTGGTTTCACGATTCGTGTGTAAAGTCAAGTGTGGTATTTCATTGAAAGGAAAGCAAAATATATCTGTGTGTGATCTCACTAAAGCACGTTCTTCCTTCAAT